ACAGACAGACAGACAGACAGACATAACCATCTAGCAAGGAGCTCCTTGTCCTGATAAAAGCTCTGCAGGCACCCTCCAGAGCACCCTGGCTTGCCGGGTTTGAGTTCACTGCATAGCTTCCGTTCTGCGTAGCCCAGGTGCCTCATCCACCTAGGAAGGTGCTAACAATTGAATAACTTCTGGTCTCCTGGAACCCCACCACAGACCATGGCCCAAGTCTTCAAGGGCTAAGGCTGCGCCTTCTCTCCACCATCTTCTCAAGAAGCTGCGGCCGCTCCTCCAGCCGTGTCCGGAACTCGTTGAGCCGTCGTACGTGCCGGTCGTGCAGCCGCCGGCCAGGTGGCTGCGGCTTCTCCGAATGGTTGTCCCGCCACTCGGCCGAATCCCAAGACGACCACTCGGCTTCCTCCGAGTCTTCGGTGGGCAACGCGAGGCTTTGGAAGCAAGGCTTTGGCTTGCTGTCCCGGGCCTTCGGCGGCTCCTTGCTGTGATGGCTCTCTGTGCGTCGATTTGGGGCAGTCGGCACGGGCACGTCGTACTCGGGAAAAGCTTGGAAAACTTGCTGCAGATCGGCTCTTCCACGTTTCGGCTGAATCTCCGGGTGGACCTTAGTACCCTGGCCGGAGGCCGCACCGCATCCCATGGCCCCTTCGATACGCCACAAATCCGATGTCAAAGCTCGGATCCCAGTAGCAAGAATAATAACAATAGTGAAAATGATGAGATAGAACATAGCAACGGTGACGATAGGAAGAAATCATGCAGCACTCGTCTACACATTGTGCAGTGCTTCGTATGCTGACTACCATTCCGTGCTCACTAGACGAGGTATTCTCACATTCAGTATTCCTGCAACCCTCATAAGAGGATGTATTCCTACAACTACAATAAGAGCATGCTCACATAGTTCTTACATGTTACAAGCCCCCATTCCATGAGCCGAGACATCCTGCCCCTACCGGCAGTCTCAGGACTAAAGGAGAGGGGTCTTGTGAGAGTTCGGAAGGAGGGTGGGGGGGGGTGCTGAATGTAAGGAGCAGGGCTTTTGGGAGTCCTTCAGGAATGAATGACCAGAGCAGTTTTCGGTGGACAGGTTGGCAGCCTTGGTGTTTACCAAGATCCCGACATTAGGAAAAGTGAGGGCTTCCTTTATGCGTATAGTTCTTTGCAGGACTCCCTGTCACGCACCGTGACATCTTGAGGAAATGTACATTGTGCTCACAAATAGGGGTAGCAGGGTCTCGGGAAGTTCGGTCGCCTGAAACCACGACAATGCTTGTGTCTTCTGGGCCCGCATCTGCTTCAATTCTAGGCCCCAACCAAAACCTGCTAAACTGTCAACCCTGAACCTTTCCCAAATCCGGCATGCTAAGCCCTCCCCAACCCTGCCCCACCTAAACTTTGAAGCCTTAGCTCGTGAAGCACGTGCCAGAAGGGCAATGAAGTCGAGAACGCTGGAGAGGTCTGCCCTAAGGCTCAGGAGCTTCTCGTCCTCGTCGGATCGGTGTGGACTGGCTTCTGTATCGGTATGGTTTTTGTCGTCGTAGTATGATTACATGGATATGATGTGATTTTGAGTAGGGTTATGATTGTCAATACGACGACGACTACTACTACTTACTACGACAACGATTTTAAAGACGACTACGCCAAGATTACTACGACTACGACTACGACTTCTCACGCGACGACTACTAACTACTAGTGCGACCAGGACTACCACTACCACTGCCGCCACAACCCCACCACCGCCACCAAGACCACCACCACCCCATCTCCACCTCTACCTGCTGACGCTACCACTACCATTACCACTACCACTACCAACGTCACTGCCACTGGAATAGGCTTTCAGCGCATGTTTTGCATCACAGAATAATAAGGACCCCCAAGGAACATCTTAGACTCAAGATTCGACGAAAAAACAAGCCTGCTGCCATCTGAATCCTGGACCCTGACGTTTTGTGGGCTTGGGGGTTTTGGAGCAAAGTGGAATGGAGCTTCGGGGGCTTGCGGTGTGTTAAAGGGTCCCCGGGGATGCAAAAACCCACCGCAACACTCAAGAACAGAGACCCGGTCCTGGGCTCGCGCATCTTGCTTCAACGTCTCTATCCGCTGTTGCTGCTCCGCCAACACCTGGTGGGAAGGATGGTGTATCGGACTTGCCACACCCATGGAAATTAACCACGCATCACAGAAGTTTGTTAGTTTAGGTGAGGCGCTTGAGAGACTTACTGACACTAAACTCTGAGTCCTAGACCACATCAGCGGAAGCCGCCCAAAACCCGGAACGACGCTTCATGACTACCCTTCCCTCCAGTCCTCTGCAAACCTTGACAAGAGCACCGCCAACCAGAAACCTCGCAAAACCCCTAAAGAGTGGAAAACCAAAGTTCTGCCATCTTAGAGTCTTCGCACTCCAAAACTTTAAGAACCCCCCAACCCTAAAGCCTCACCTGGAGACCTTCCAGTTCAATCCCAAAACTATTTTTTGGAATGGGATTTGAGGTAAAATATTCTCAATAATATTCAGGACACCTACAGATTCGTCTTGGTAATTCTTCAGGTCCCTACATTAAGTTTTTAGCTCTCTGTGCCTCTTTGGCCACCTCTTCAGACACATGACCCTTCGACCGCCTCTGCAGTTTTGAGGTTTCATGGCATTCGCGGCTTTGGGGGTCTTTTGGGGCTTCGGGGTTTTTGGGCTCGGGGTTGTGGGATGCAAGGTTTGGGTTTTCTGCGACATAACCAATCTAGTACATTAGTCGCAGCCGCAGTCGTTGTGGCAGAGGAGTAGTAGTAGTAGTAGTA